ATGGAGAACATTTATTAGACCTGTGTTAGCATTTCAGTTCTGCTTCTGATTGCTCTTTCCTCTGTATTTCAAATACCCACCACACTACTTGTGATTCTGCATCTTCCCTTTGCTCTACGCCCCAGGGAACAGGAATCCATTCTCCAAGTTCTTTTAATGTCTTTTGTATGTTAGCAATCCTATATTTATAATGCTGATGTTTGTGATGATGGGGGTGATTTCCTTGGTTAGTCCATGGGTTGCATAGGCATCCATTCTTCTCATTCTGATAACATCCTGTATGCATTTAAACAAGCAACTTGTGAGATTCATTTTTAAATGTAGCAGGATGGATTTAAAAGTCATGCAACCAGTGAAGTTAGTTTATGCTACCACTGGCAGTAATCCATGTGATTTGATCTTCAAAATGTTTCAAATTCACCCTAGTGTCACATCACAAGATCTGTGGGTGTACTTTGCTTTTCAGAACTGTATGACCTGGATTCAAGCTGGAATTTGGGATGCATAATCTAGCCTGTGTGTTGTGTAATCTTTTCTATCAAAGTGCCTAGAACTGCATCTCTGAAAATGTGAGACAAGCAAGTACCTCTTGCTGGAATCACAGACAATGGTCTAGTGGTGAAGAAACAGAGCAGGAACTTCCCTGGTTTATTGCTGCCCAAATATACCAAAAATATTAATGAAGTTTTATTTTAATTATTTGTTGTGGCAAGGCAAGGTAAAAATACCTCAAAATAATTAAAGGGTTTTCTGTCATGGAGTTTCAAAGTAAAGGCCACCATGGACACAGAAAAGTTATCATATTTTGCTCTTAAGATGATTTATTGCCCTTGATGGCACTAATGTAGGGATCATATTTTCAACTGAGCAAGGGCTGAAGGGAAAGGGATAATTGATTCCACATGTTCTTGCATGTGGGAAAGGGATCTTCAGCCCTTTGGATCAAGAACTAAGAGCAGCCAAAACTTTGGCATGAGATTGCCAACCAACTAGCCCCTATTTTCTCTACTAGCTATTTTACCTCTTTTAATCAGCTACTCCAGCCACTCTGTATTTGCCCAGACCAACACAGCTCATCTTGCTTCTAGTTTTGCTGTGAATTTTAAATTAGTCAAACTCACAACTGACCATTCTTTCACAGAGGCTGGACCATAGACATTCTTGCACAGCAAGTTTTATTTTTTAAAGTTAGAATATTTATGAATATTCCATAGCACCATAACTGCTTGCTGAACAGTACTGCCTGAGGGTTTTACTGTAGAAATCCATGTATATTTAGAAATATTTGAGGGCAAGCTGTTCTTTTTCTTCACTCCACCAATTTTAAAATTTACACTTGGCTCTGTTCAAGGATTCAGCAGAAATCTATTCCCTGACATACAGATCCATCCACACATGATATAGGCTCCATCAACAGATCATCCTGGGTACTAGTCTTTTGATTTTCTGTTGCAAGGACTGTCAAGCCTACTTTTGCAGAGTCCTTGACTTTTATAGAGCAGCTTGCACTTTCACACGGAAACACTTGCAAGATGCCCTTAGAAACTGCCCGATGTGCATGATAAAGGATCCTTGGAGCGAGTGCTCTGCTAGGGACCAGGTGGAAGTACAGATTGAGTTGCCTGATGCTTAATCCTCATGTACAGCATGTGCAGAATTTAGGTTGCATACATGGAAATACTTCTTTTCATAATTCACGGGTTCTATGGACTGTTTCACAGCTGCACATTGAAACCTGATTGCAGATTTTCACTTCCCAGATAATCTGACTAATATATGCATGTAAAGTTTATGAGATAGGACCTCCCAAATTGGTGGTGAACTTGCACTAACACTCTCATTTTAACAGTACTGAAAACATTTCCAGTGTCTCTAATTTGGGCATCTTGATTCATGCTCTCCCTTTATCTCTCTACTGGCTTCCCCAACCTGTTCCAGTTTAAAAACAAAAATAAATCAAAAGCCATTGTTTTGCCCTGATTCACTTTCCTCCTTTACCAAATGGTTTGGATCAATATAACTGTTTATCTTGAACGCAAGTTTTCAATTACATGCTCGGCTGGGTTTGTTCTACAGCTATTAGTAGCCTAACAAGATCAAAATGAAACCACTGATCTAAATCCCCCTTTAACTGGAGTCCAGAAACCAATATTTGGATTGAGATTGCTATTTCATTTTTACTCATGCCCTGCTGTATCTTAAGACATATTGATCAAGTTCCATAAGCAGGTCAGTAAAAGTCCTTCTCTTCATCCATAAAACATAAACTCATCTTGTCCCTTAATGTGAGATTTGCAGGAATAATAGTAATAAAAAGAGTTGCTGTGTTAAGGGGTGTAAAAGACCTTCCACACATCTATAAATACGCATTCTTTCTCCTTGCCTATGTCTACTTTTCTAGAACATTCACAAGTAGAATCTTCAAAACATCCTTTCGCGTGAAGTGCTTTTCTTCTGTTTTCCAGCCAGCCATGCCTCTTCCAAACCACCCCATTCCCAGCTTACCATTCCCCCCAGAAAGAGACTGAACAATCATTCGTGTCCACTGAGCATGTTCAGACCACCTTGGAGTCTTTGGGGTTTTTGGTACTTCTGCAAACAAGAGTTTTCCCCAAGCCAACTGATATGCCCTTCTTGTGTGTGGACTGTTATGCATAAGGCTTTACCCTTAGAACATAAGTTTGCTATCAGTAGAAAGGCTAGTGTAGGCTTTGGAAGAATAATGCTCTTCACCAGTGATCCATTAGCTACAAAAGACATCCTCATCACAACAGTGTTCAATTTAAGTAGTACGGCTACATCATTGCAGTCATTTTTTCAACAATCCTGTAAGATATTTTAATCCTTGGGGATGGGAGCTGAGAGAAAGTGGTTTGCCTGAACCACTTTGCCTGAACCAGAGAGCCAGTGGTTAAGCGCATGGGACTGGGACTCTGGGTTTGAGTCCCCGCTCGGCCATGGAGCCCACTGGGTGACTTTGCGCCAGTCACAGACTCTCAGCCCAACCTACCTCACAGGGTTGTTGTTGTGGGGATAAGATGGAGGAGGAGAATGATGTAAGCTGCCTTTTTTAATTATTATTATTATTATTATAACATTTCTATGCCGCCCCTTGCCGAAACCTCGGGGCGGCTTACAACATGATAAAATACATTGAAATACAATAGTACATAATAAATTACCATTAAATATAACAATACAAAAAATACATTGATTACAAATACAAAATTAAAATTATTAGTATAAAATAAAAATATAGGAGGAGAAAGAGAAGGAAGAAGAAGTTGCCCAGGCCAGATCATATGTTTTAACAATTGAAATGATGTTTAAATAAAAAGGTCTTTACCTGGCGCCGAAAAACCAGTAACGACGGTGCCAGGCGGACCTCTTTGGGGAAAAA